GGGAGGGGCTGCCAAGGAGACGTGTCACTCGCGGCACGGCCGGCCCGGCGCCCCGACGGCCCAGCCCGCGCGCTGCCGCCACCGCCGCTGCAGGGCCCGACCAAGTTTCTTACCTGCAACGGGAGACGCGAGAGGGAGAGTGAGGGGGCAGTAGCCGCCGCCGCTGCCGAGGAACCGCGAGAGAGGAGCCGGCCGAGCCTCCGCCGAGAAGCCGCCCCTGAGCAGCTGCACACGCCGCAACCCCGACGCCGTCCGCCCCGTCCGCCGTCCGCTCCGGCCGCTCGCTAGCTGCGTGCGCGCGTGTGGAGTCGTGGCACTTTCTGCCTCGGAGCTGGCGAACGGCCCCCTCCGCCGGGATCGCCGCCTCCTGCCTTCCCCACCCGGGCCAGCCATTCATCGAGCCGCCTCTCCCCATTGGTTCGCTAGCCGCCACTCTGCCGGCCGCTAGCCAGTCAGAATGCGGATAGCCGAACCGCGGCGGCGGCCATTGGACAGAAAGGCGGGTCTACGTCTCCGCCAATGGGAGAGGGGAGGAGCTGCGGGGAGTCGCGGGGGCGGGGCCTGAGAGGGGCGGGGCCGCGCAGCGCAGCTCCGGGCTCCGCGCGGGGGGGCGGGTCTCTAACGCCCCGCCCACCCAGGGAGGTCGGCTACCGGCCCCGCCCTCTCCGGGCCGCGGCGCTCCATGCCACAGCTTACTTGGAGCCGGCTCCATCTGGGCGGGTATCTTGAGGGTTCGAATCCCCGAGGCCTCGGGCCTTCGCCTCAGAGCACTGCCGGGCTTCGGTGGCAGTAGGTGTCACCCTGAGCGGGAGTGCTTAATCCGTGAACAACAAGGAAAATGCTTTATTTAAACCCAAGTAATTTCACAGAAAGTACCGCCCCCTCCAGCCTCTGGGTGTAAGGACAGTTTCTGCTGGGGATCAGGGTAGAGAGGCCTTCACTTTAAAGAGATTGCATTCTACACCTGATGGAATTTCCTTGAATAATTGGAGTAATTGGGGTGGAAGAACCAGAAGAAGCAGAAGGAATTGAGGTGAACTGCATCACACTTTGTGAGGGAAGATCACACCTGAGGCAGTCTGGATACTGAACTTGCCCAAATCGCATAGCAGATTTGTGACATTTGATTCCAAGTGATAGGAACAGTGAGGTTCTGACCCAAGACAACCTTGCTGCATCCCAGGAAACTGAACAATTGGTGCCCCAAATATTACCAGCACCCTCTCTTTTTAAATTTATTGAGTGTGCGTGCGCATGAGTGCAGGGGAGCACATGCCACTATGCACATTTGAGATCAGAAGACAACTGGCAAAAATGTCTCCTTCCACTGTGGGTTCTGGAAATTAAACTCAGGTCATGCAGGCTTGCATGGCAAGAACTTTTACCCACTGAGTCATCTCACCAGCCCAACACCCTCTTCATAATTAAATTCAATTGAAATCATTTTAAGTTTAGGTTTTAACCATTATAACAGTGTCTCAAAATCAACCCTTTGAGTTGTGCGTGTGTGTGTGTGTGTGTGTGTGTGCCTTCATGTGTGCATGTGTGTATACAAGTGCAGAGGCCAGAGATCATCAGGTGCCTTCCTCTATCATTCTCTGCCTTACTTGGGGGGAGGGGGGGATGCAGGGTCTCTCAGTGAACCTGGAGCTCACTGCCTTGACTAGAATGGCTGGCCAGCAAGCCTCAGGGATCTGCCTGTCTCCATCATCTCAGTGCTGGTTACAGGTGGTGTCTGGTTTTTGTTACTTAGTAGGTGCTGGTTACCAAATTCAGGCCCCCATGCTTTCACAACAAGCACTTTACTGACTGAACCATCTCCCCAGCCCCTGCAATGCAGTTTTTTAAAAGGCCAAAAGGGCTGCAACTGCCCCATGCCATTTCTCCGGCCTTTGTGACTGAATCCCTGCCTTGTATCTATTTCTTGGACAGGTCTTTCTTCCACCACCATACTTGTTTGCCATTGCTACTGTGCAAGCTGTCATTGAAAGTGAAGCACTTCGTAGGCAAATACAGAAGGGTTAGGTTGGAGCCAAACCATTCATTCCTAATTTTAATCTAATCTCAGCAGTTTCTTAGCACATTAATGATTAATCAGCAAGAATTAACCTGGATTACCTTTCCATGCTCAGTCATTTTCCAGCAGTGAGGCCTGGTTTGGAATAAAATTCAATGACCCCAACTTCTGACCAACAGTTGCTAGCAACTAGTCTGACTAGACCATGTGCCAGCTGTTTACCACAGACTCTAGGACAGTTACTCCTTTTTCTGGGGGTAGGAAAGAACATTCATTCATTCATTTGCAGGTACTTGTTAGTGCCCCGGGAATATCACAGGCTGAGCATGCAGCCTAAAGTGATACATAGATCCACCAAAGACTCAGTCTCCAAAAAGTTTTGTCTGTGGCAGGGTCTTCCTTTATCTTGTTCACTGTTTGTCTTTAAATTTTCCCAGAGCAGATCGTGGCAAGAGGACTTGGTTCAAATATAGTTGTCCTTCAATATCAGAGGGAGGTTGATGCCAAGATCCCCCTCTACCAGGTTGCAAAGTCTAAGGATGGTCAAGTCTCATACAAATTGCTGTAGTGTTTGCACAGAGCCTCTGCACATCTTCCCATATGCTTTAAATATTCTCAGTATGTAGTACAGCACCTATTGCAATATGTAAATAGTTGGGATATTGTATCATTTAGGGAATCCTGACAAAGGAGAAAAGTCTGCACATGCTCAGTACAAACACAGTGATTTTCCAAATATTTTTGGTCCTCTGTTGGTTAAATCTGTGGGTTGAAGGGCTGACTGTAATTCATTTGGGAATGATCTAGGAAACATTGGTGGAGAAGTGGGAAGGGAAAGAGGCAACAGAGTGAGCACACTATCAAGCAAGCAACCGCCGTGGTGTGTGTATGAACAGCTAGGGCAAGTGTCACTGGATTTGGGGAAAACTATAGAATACACCCCAGAGCTTTTCCTCCAGATGGATGAGGAAATGCTTATTGATTACCCACTCTTAGAACTTGTTGGTAAGAGTTTCTTCGGTAGGGGGAGAATTTAACTCACCCACACGCCCATCAATAGAGGAAGGTTTGCAGCTTAAGAGGCCCTTTGCAGACTGGCAAATGCCAGAGGGTGTGGCGCAGGCCACCATGATCCTTCTACGTGGGAACCTGCTCCTGGCATAGTGCCCATAGAGAGGAGAGGCTGACAAATACAGATTCTGTAAATATTGTCCAAAGAGTAATAGGATCACAAAGTCCCTAGGAGTGAGGAGTAGTTACCAAAAGTGATTCCCTTCTGTTCCTTCCCGTTTCAATGTTTGGTTCAACTTCATCACAACATTCATTTCAGAACAGAATCGTGACCTGGTGTGAGCACCGACTTTCCTCTGCCCCTGCCTCTCATCCTCTGCCACCCTTTAGTAGTGCTGTGCAGATTCCCACCCCGAGCTCCATCATCCTCAGCACCCTTCAGCAGGAAATCATCCTCCCTTAGCCCAGCTTGGCCTCTTCAGCTCTCCCAAGTTGTATTTCTCCCTGGAGAAATAGTCACCCCAAGAGTAAATGGATAAAAGATGCTTTTGAAAGGAGCAAGGCACCCCAAGACTCAGGTCTTCACCACAGACCCCAGTCTCCTAATCACACAGTCCCCCAGCCTCAAATGGAAGATCCCATTTCACTGTCCAGCTTCTGGGTGCCATCTGCTCAGTGCCACACTCCAGACTGGAACCTAGGAAGCAAATCCCTGCCATCCACAGGTGACAGTAGCATTCAGGTGTGGGTAGGTGATTTCAACACAAAGTGTGTAGAGCAGTCAGAGAGAAAGGCCTAGGTTAACCTGAAACATTCCAGGCAGAGTTTGTCCAGACTAAAAGAATAGATGAGCAGAGGCTTGAAGGAAATGTGGAAGGTATCAGGCCAAAAACTATCCACCTGGTGAGGAATAACATTGACAAAGGTTTGGTGATAGACAGCAGAATGCACCAGATGTATACCTAGAAAGACTGACCAGGGAGAGAGAAAGAAAGAAGAGACAGACTCCAAAGGTGATCAAAGGGGAACAGGGAACTTTCTTGAAGTGATGCAAATGTTCCAGATATTGATATAGTGATGGTTACATGGCTCTGGCAAAATTCATCAAATGCTCCTCTCTTTAAAAGGGTGAATTTGGTTTGAATTCCAGACTCCAAAAGAGGGACATATTAAGTTTTAGTTGCCTATCTAAAGCAAATAAAGCATTCTTATTAGGAAAAATTAAACACATAAGATTAATTACCTAACATGGTCTATTAATCCATGATAGTGGATTTGATCTCAATTACTAAATTGCATGTATTATTTTAGAAGACTAGGAAGAAAGATGAGACTATACCTTATAGTTTTAAAAGAGGCTTTGCTTTGTCAACAACCATGAAAGGATGATGAGTGACAAATGAAATAAAATCTCATGGGGAAAAAAGGCACGGTAACAATACACAACATGTTTAGGCTTATCAGGAACTACGCATTGTTTGAAATAACCCTACAAATGTGTAACATTACCTAACCTTCAGAAAGACCCTGTAAGGGAGGTCCTCTAACTATCTCCATTTTAAAGATGAGGAAACCGAGACACCAAGAGATTGAATAACCTACTCATTTTCCCAAGGCTGGTCAGAGGAGGAGTGTTTAAGCCCAGGGACCATGCAATATAAAGACTGCATCTTCGAAGGTGTCTCTGGGACTGTTACATCTAACCTTCAGTCAACTTAACAGAGGGTTTGTGCTCGATGACATCTATGACCATTCCCTCAACATGTTCTGACTGTGACTCAATTAGGTTAGGGACTCACTGGGTTGGGAGATGATCCATAGCCATAGCTCAGGTAAGAAGTGACATGAGGGCTTGAAAGGGACAGAGCAGGAAGTGGTACCAAGGGTAGTTAGAAGGCAAAGCAGGTAAGGCTTGGTGACCCCCAGGAATAAGGGAAAAGTAGGCGTCACCTGTGAGCCCAGGTTCCTAGCTTGGGTGACAAGGTCATGGAGTGTCACTGCTAGGGCAGTTCCCAGCTGGAGAAGGGCTTCGAGGGAAAGGCATTTTGTTGTCCTGTTATATTAAAGGCACCTGCAGGAAGCCCTGGGGGAGATCCAGCCAGCTGTGCCTCACTTAACCACCATCACACTTTCTGAGAAATAAGACATTAAGCATGTCATCAAGCAAACAGCTTAAAACATACCACACAAACTAAGACAGCTACAGAGTCACTAGGTCATACAATCTTACGGGACCATGTCTTATATGCAACAATGGCTGTAACTAACAGAGATGCTCTGTGGTCTACAGTCATATTGTTTCTGTGGGGCTGAAGCTCAGGGATTGGGGTCAGAATCCTTGATATAG